ATATCCCCCGATAATTACTACAGTCAGTTTTATCACCCTTCTTGTGCACTGGTACAATAATAGACTCCTTCCACTGATCAGTCAATTTTTCCTTATGCCAAATAGAAGTAATTAGATTGTGGGTCTTAGAACGTAATATTTCTCTTCCTGCTTGAATAAGTTCTGCCAGAATTTGATCACTACCTGTAGATTTATACAGTTTCAAATTTGCAATAGCACTTTTAACCTCAAAAGAGCTAGGATCAGGTATTAACGGCTCAGCTGTGTGGATTTCTGTCTGCCTAACAGCACTGACCTTATGTACATTCAATAACTGAAAGAAGTAGTTCCTCCACCTATTCAAAATGTTGTGGGAATCTGCAAGCAGATCACCATTCTCATCCTTCACTAAGTTACTGCTAGGCTGGTAACCCCTCTTAAAGTCATTTATTCCTCTGTAAAGGTCTCTAATGTTCTTGTTCTTACTGTTTATTGCAAGATCATCAATTTTGTCTTTCAGATATTCCCTCTTTTTGTTCCTGAAATGCCTGCTGGTTTCATGTCATATTGTTCAGATTATCCCCATTTAACTCGCTTGGATCCTGTAACCATTGCAATTTGGACTGCTCTCTTTGATCTAATAACTGTGAGCATCCTTCATCGAACCATGGCTTATGCTTCTTTGGTTCATAATAAACTAGACTCTCTTTGGCAGACATTTTTATATTCTCTCTAACAGTTTCCCAAGCTTTATTAACATCAACCTCAGTTTCCAAGTTTTCTAAAGCCGCGAACCTATTTGAGATTTCAACACAATACTGCTCTTTACTCTCTACCTCATTTAATTTCTTGAGATTGAACCTCTCCATATGAACTCTGTGTGTTGTTTGTTTGCTCACTGCCAGTCGTTCCCTAACATCCTGCCACCATCAGGTAGTGGTCAGTATCACAATCTCCTGCCCTGAATGATTGGACATCAAGTATACTTGAGTGCCATCTCCTATCTATCAATATATGGTCGCTCTGATTGTGTATCTTCCCATCAGGAGATGTCCAAGTAAATTTATGGATGTTATGATGTGAGAGCACTGTACTTTCGACAGTAAGATTTTCTGATATGGCAAAGTTTACAACTCTAATCTATTATCATTACTAATTTCATGCAAACTGTCATTCCCAATTGTTGGTTTGAAAATGTCTTCCCTCCATACTTTGGCATTTAAATCTCCTAACAAAATTTTCATAGGGTACTTCAGGAATTTATCAAATACATGTTCTAGTTCTTCATAGAATCTATCCTTTATGTCATCAATCTTATCTTCTGTTGGGGCGTGAACATTCATGACAATGATATCACACCAGTGCCCTTTTAGTATTATATATGATATTCAGGAATTAATTAAATAAATTTCCTGGTGAGTAAAGCGCGGCCGGTGCGTAAGGCTGATAACCTTACTGCCATCTTTGAGCCGATTATCTAGATAATGTGGAACCCTCGTCTCACAACCATATGGGCCTTCACGGCCTGGTTCAGGGACAGCTTTACTTTTTTACTTTTTTTTTTTTTAACTTTATGTTCATACGATCAATGCTGAACACGATAGTGTGGCCAAAATACGTGTAATTCAATGACTGAAGGGATATACCCATAATAACAAATTAGATGGATAAAATATGTAAACACTAATAAGTAAAACTTCCTACCTAGGAAGTAGTTAATACGCTTAAAGTTAAACTTAAGTTTTAAACTTAATTACAAAATACACAGTGAATCCTGACACTGATTCTGCTCCTCGGTGTTTCACGCTGAATCAGGTAACCTGAAGATTGCAAGTCAATTATAAAGTAATGCCACTTCATTCTTACCCACACATGAACAAGAACCAAGTGAGTCAGAAAAGAATTTCCCACACAATTCTTGACTGAAATATAATTATTTTCAGATACAGGGCAGAATGAACTCTGACCGTCTTCTGAGAATGATGTTCTAATATTCTGGGAAGAAGGAAACAGGTCTCCAAAGCAAGGAAGAGACAGAGCTCAATATCAGAATAGGTTTCTTGTACGTAATCCGACTCTAGGTGATAATGTTATCAACAAATTACTCAATACCAGAGGTTTGAGACAAGAGCATGTGAAGGCATGGTAGTTGCAGTTCCTTGTCATCAGGGTTACTTTCTCCAACTTATGAAACATCTATAGATGCTCTTGTGAGCAATTGGAATATATTATTCCAGTAATTCAACAACTGCTCTCTGCCAATTTCCAGGGCTGGTATGGGCAGGATATTACAAGGCAAAGATGAAGAAGCATTACTTTCCTAATGACTTACTGATGTGTCAGTATCTTAATCTTCTTCCTCTTTGTGGCCCTCTGCCTGACTGCTTCAGTCATCAACATGTTTGTTCGCTTACACCACCAAGGAATGTAAATTCTTGTGAGACATCTCACAATACCATCTACTATTCCTTGGTAGTGAAGTGAACAACCAGTACACCTAATCCACTCCAAGTCAATGGTGCTCTTAATGGCAGCTGTGATATGCTGCAACATGAATTGAATTGCCTACCATCATAGATTATATTATAGTTACAGTACACCAACAGTCTCCACACCAACGTCTCAGAAATATATGAAGACACTGGCTGATAGCAGCACTTCAGATGTCACGCATGTCTTGTGTGCATCACAGCTGACACCACGAAGCACCTGTCTGGCAATGGAACCACTGACATAGGCTACTGAGAACACTTCCATGTCACCAGCATGTACTGCAGCAACCATGTCCTTCTGTACTTGTTGAGTAACATGGAAACTCAGGAAATTCATCAGGGGTTTCCTTGCCACAACTTGTGGACGGATTTGGTGAAGAAGCATCAGGTGCCCTGAACAATGACTATAGGTTACACACAACAGTAGCACCATCATCCTCACGACTAGTTCCACACAGACCTCTGATAGCAAGTGCACTGATGATGTTAGTCTTCAGGGCATCTACAAACTGTCCCACAGTTGGATTATTGTTCAAACCAGACTACGAACGAATAGCTTCAAATGTGTTCACAAGGTGATCACCAAACAGCTGTTGCCAGGTATTCACCACAGCACCCCACTGAAAGAAGATTAAAAAGGAAATTAGTGGGCTTCCTTACATGATGGACTTTTTCAGATTTGAAAATAACACACTTTACTCGAAAGGGACTGCCATTATAAAGATTTTGTATATTTGATTAAATTATTCCTCATAGCAAAGTCTTTACCACCTTATTCTCTTATAAATCATATTACTGATAGTGTGATATGCTTTTCAAACATTTTTAATTACCCTAAAAACATATGACATATCCTACATGACTTGTGTATTGATAAATTTGTATTGTAGCATCCTGTGGCACTCTTCCATTTTATTATAAATGGAATTTTACAGTCTTATGTGAAACTATTTATTAACTTTAAGTTTAAAATTTAAAACTTAAAAAGTTCCACATGACAGTAAAATAAGATTTATAATAAAATTGTATATTGATGTAGTTTCATAAGTAATGAATGATGATGACAATGACATTTGTTTGATCACAACTGGGTTCTTGGGACAATTACTTAAAAAATTAGCTCTCATTATTCTCGCTAGCCACTTCTTTCATAACAGAACATAATTCACATAAGCAGTGGCCCTTTCCTGTAGCCAATACAGTGTTGTGGCTTGCTGCAATGATTGATATGCCTGAGTTCCACATCAGAAGTATTTATATTTACAGGGCTTATGAGAAACGAGGTTTCTTTCACTGCAAAAGTTGGTGGCTACTTGGTAATGGTTGCACTGCAAACATTTTAAAGGATTAAGCAACACATAATAAAGTAATTACACCATGAATTAAAACAGATATACCTTGCTGGATCCTTTGGAAAGCTGAAGAATTTGATGCCTTGCTTGCTGGATGGCAAGCACCCAACAGCAGCACGTTTTCGTTTTCATGTTTACTGCAAGAAGCAATACAAAAATTATAACACCATCACGGTACTCTTATAACTCCTTCATATTCAACAGACAATCTTTGGTATAAACCGAAAGTTGCAGAACATACCATAAAACAAATATCGTTTAGATGACAGTTCGTGATAACCTCAAAAATTTTAGGCTTGAAAGAATTCTATATGTTTCTAATTTCATTTATGGTAGTAAACATAACATTCATATATACAAGTAATATGTTAATATGGAGTTGTAACTTCATTCGCAAATGTCTACTTTCGTTTCGCAGTCACATAAAATGAAATTTCATACTTAACCAATTTGCACATAACGAACCACCATAACCGCATATAATTGCGGGAATTCAAATTGGTTTGTTTAGGCTCTCTGATTGGTCGAGACCTGCGTGAAGTTTCTTCTGTCATTCATAGAGGCAGTAGTAACCGTGTTTCCGCTTATCCTATCCCAGTTTCATCCGCCTGGTGTTAGGAAACAATTGACGCGTTGTCGTAACAGCATAGCAACAGCTGCAGTTGCTATCGTATAGGCCAGTAAACACTCGCCCCCCCCCCTCTGACGTGTCACCAAAACGCTGCTAGGTAACAGAGAACAGTATAACACGCTGGCTGAGCGGTGTGTGAGCCAGTGTGAGTTGTGAATCCAGACAGGCAGGTAGAGAGCAGTGAGGAGCCAGTAAAAGCCACCACGGAGATTTCGACAGCTGTTAATACGAAAGGAGTTCGTCTTCGTATACTGTGAAACTGAAAGAAATATTTATGGAACAGTTCAACATGTGGTTGTCTGTTCATACATCGACATTCCTCAAAGGTGGCGGCGGAATTGTTGATTTAGCTAGAGATATGAATGCAATGGCGGCCGCCAGGGACGGGCTGGAGCTGGAGAAGACTATATGGCTGGTAACCAACGGATGTATGCAGCAGCAGCCACGGAGTACGGTGCTGATAGGCGAACCTCACATACAGCTAGCTCACCTCAAGGATACCCTGGAAAGTGAGGTTCTGTCTACTCGTGGAGGGGAAAATAAGACGGTGACAGGTATTAATGAATGCCGCAACAGTGTGCAGCAGCGCAAGAAGGAGGCACGGCGCAAGTGCAGGAAGAAGAAGAGAACAGGCTCCAGATTTGTACCTTCCTGTTTCCAAGAGCTCTACCGGTTGACTGGTGAGGTGCTTGGAGAAGGGGCGTATGCATCTGTTCAGACCTGTGTTAATATCTGGACAGACTTGGAGTATGCTGTTAAAATTATCGAAAAAAATCCAGGCCATACTCGTAGCCGAGTATTCAAAGAGGTGGAGACTTTTCACAGTTGTGAAGGACATCCTAACATCATTCAGCTCATCGAGTTCTTCGAAGATGAAGAAAGGTTCTACCTGGTGTTTGAAAAAGTGAATGGCGGTCCTCTCCTTACCCGCATCCAGGAACGCGTTCACTTCAGTGAGCGAGAAGCAAGTCAGATCGTTAGGGATATTGCCAGTGCACTCCAGTTCCTGCATGTTAAGGGTATTGCTCACAGGGATCTGAAGCCAGAGAATATCCTTTGTGTTTATCCTGACAAGCTGAATCCAGTGAAAATATGTGACTTTGACCTGAGTTCAGGAATCAAGTTCAATTCAAACCTGACTTCTCCCCTCTCTACTCCACAGCTACTCACCCCAGTTGGAAGTGCGGAGTACATGGCCCCTGAAGTCGTAGAGGCATTTATTGGCGAATCTAATCCATATGATAAGCGGTGTGATCTCTGGTCACTCGGAGTTATAATATATATCTTGCTGTGTGGCTATCCACCTTTCTACGGCCGCTGTGGGTCTGACTGTGGTTGGGAGAGAGGCGAAAACTGTCAAGCATGTCAAGAATTGCTGTTTACAAGTATCCATGAAGGTTTTTACGATTTTCCTGAGCGTGAATGGGCAGATATCTCAGAAGAAGCCAAGGACTTAATACGCTCATTGCTTGTGAAGGAAGCGAGCCGCCGTCTGTCTGCAGAGTGTGTGCTAACTCACCCCTGGATGTCTACAGACTCATCCAGATCCAACCTGACAGCCCGATCTCTGATTACTCCTTACATCATCAGGAGGAACAACAGTGCCCGTGAGCTGTCAGAATTTGCAGAAAGTGCAATGGCTGTGAATCGTGTTGTGTTGCAACACTTCAGCATGAACCTTGAGCTAGGCACTATCCAGACGCCATCATTAATCGAGTCCTCCACTGTCCAGGAACAAAATTTAACTAATGGAGCTGGTTATGGTAACATTGTATTTAATCTGTCTCCTCCAAGTGAATCAAGGTTAATCCAACGCCGCAGAGCTCAAAGCCTCACCAAGAAGTATGACAACAATGAGTTGTTAAAAGTGTAGGATAAAGATATGCCGGACAGCCACATCACAGCCAATACCAGCAATAAAATTAACTCTTCAGCATCTACTACCACAACCGCAGAAGGTAAAAGATAGCAAATCTTCTTCTTGTTGCTTCCTCGCCCACATCTACTCCAGCGCCTGTAGCTGTGGTGGCAGCTCCTAATGACTGAACCAAGAATTGAACTTCGACCAGCGGTGACGTAACAGCAGAGCAGATGTGTTAGGCAACCATTGCCGCGGTGACGTAACAGCATAGAAACCCCTGCCGCTGCCTCTGCTATGGTAACAGACCAGTAAACACTCCGACCCCTCACACTATGACGTAACAGTAGACGCTGCTACCGCAGCTAGGTAACAGAGAACAGTATAAGAGGCTGGCTGAATGGTTGTGACCCAGTGTGTGTGTTGTGAATCCAGACAGGCAGCCAGAGAGGAGTGGAAGAGAAGAAGCCAGGGTGCAGTGGACGCCAGTAGAAGGCAGACAGAAGACAATGGACGCCAGCACGGAGAGTTCGACAGTTCTACAGTATATTGAGAGCGTTAATACGGAAGGAGCGACTTTGAAACGACTTGTCCAACATTTTTTTGTGATGGTTACGTTGAATTGTATTTACGGCGTTGAGTAATAAAATGACCTCGCGAGAATACACCCCTCGAGGTCTTGTTTCACGAAAATTTATGGTGCCGAAATCCGAGAGAGGGATACATACTGTGACATGTTGCGCAAAGGAGAACGCCCCCCCCCACCAGCAGTGACGCGGCGGGTGATTCATCGCTCCCCTCCCCCTCCTCCGCACGGTAACGTAACGGTGACGCAACAGGATTGTTACGGTAGTAACAGCGGTTACTACCGCTAGCGTTACTAGCAACACAGCGCCAGGCAACAAGGGTGCCTATTACGTGGCCGTTTTCCGTATTGTCCGATCAAGGCTACATAAGGAGCAGCGAAGGCTATTCACAGTGAGTTGTAACCTGGCCATCGCCGAATACAGTTTCGAGTTGTAACGTAACAGTCGCCGAGTGTGTTATCAACAGTTCTCCAGTCAGCCGACTACAGTTGAAACATAGCAGCCTGCGAGTGTGCGATAACTAAGAAGTCAGCCAGTCAGTGCGTTACCAACGAGTTCTCAGTTCGCAAGTTACGAGCTACAGACGCGTGTGCGATAACCAGTGATAACCAGTTATATCTGGAGTGTGTAATTCAGGGAGACTTGTCTAGCTCCCGCGTTATTAATACGTGAAGACTCTTGAAGATAGTGTTAAGAGATTTTGTTGTAGGGTTTATAAAGTGTGGAAACCCGTAATATTGTGATAATTAATTGTAGCCGTTATTTGTAGATTGTTAAATAAACCAATTAACCGTCTCTACGGCGTCTTCAGTAACGAAACACGTTACAATACGATAAATTTAGACTTCAAGACTTCGAGGGAAAGGAGAAGACAGACACACCCACGGTCACTGACTTTGACTTAGATCTGTCGATATTTGCGACTTCTGATTTTCGACAGACCCATACAGACGATCAACTAGCTTGTGGGATCATAATTGGATATACCCTCACAACTCGACATGGCGGATAGCGAACTCCGAATGCTGAAAGGGAAGCGCTACACGGCAAGGACGAATGACAAGATTCACTACCCTTAGAATGAAATCCCCCGCTAGCACCCCACTTGAGGAATATGAGTATAACGAGACCATCTACAGGAGACCCTGGATCAACTTCTTTCGTTGGATAACGATATCCACGATCGTTTAGATGACAATGAATACACGACTGACGTGGAGATCTCCGTAGAATACATCGACGTATCCGCGCGAGCACTTCTGAAGGCCAAGCGGGAGATTTAGAATAGACACGTCTCGACAGGAGAGAGGCCTAACTTTGCGGAAGGGCCCTCCGTCTCGAGAACCCTTCGGCCTCCGTTAGTGCACTCGGTGTTTTTGACAGATAGGAAGAAACACTTTGAGAAATTAAATGCCAAAGAAGAAATGCTGGCAAAATTTGACGCAGGTAGAATAGCCAGCCGAGAAAATATAGACGCCAGTCACAAGGAGATAGTGGCCGAAATCGAACCCGAAACAGACGAAGAAGCGATGGCCTGCCAAGAGAATGAGGCACGCATAGAATAGGAGAAGCCGACCTTAGGGGGTATGAAACCTGAGGCGGCACAACAAGAGGTCCCAGTAGAAAATGCCGCAGTAAAACCGGTCGACGGACGGAAGAAGCGGCATAAGTGAAAGAAGCAAGCTGCAGATTGACGTCGATAGCCAAAGGAACAGACCCGAGGAGATTGTGTATCTCCGAGGATATTGGCTGCCCCCTGCAGGAAGGTGTCCCACGGTGCAACAGTGGCATGGCGCAAGAACATCTACAGGAAATCTTGGACCCACGGAAACTGTGACCCGCTGAAAGAAGTGACAGCAGTCGGAATGAAGGTTACCCGCTGAAAAGGACACAGGCCAACGGGCAGAACAATAACAGTGTCGCATCAAGAAGTCCGAAAGGACGGACATTTGAGAAGAGACTGTGAAAAGGCCCGGAAGACAGCAATGGGATAAGGACCGAGGCCTGAAACAGCAGCTACGAGGCACCAAGAAATTAAGGAACCCAGGCGCAAGACGGCCGCTGCTTCGGAAGATCGAAATGGTAGCAAATGAGCTCGTCAGGAAAGCTTTCGGACTGCAGTTCGGGAAGCGAGCAGCCGGATCGTCTGGCGAGTTACGAAGAATGATGAATTGGACCTTGTGGAGGTGTCGGCCTCTTCCGAAACGGGAAAAAACTGCAAACAGGGGATGAACGGGTAATATAGGAGCACAGGCCTCCTCAGCTAGAATGAGTGAAAATGAGGGTGAGAAAGGGAGTGAATGGACGGTTTTATAAAGGACGAAAGAAACACGGGCCATACACCTGGAACTTAGCATGGACGTGACAACGAACACAACGGGAAAGAGAAAACGGTGACTCCAGAGCAGAAAGCGTTTTGAGTGCTGCAGTTTGTGAAGTATGAATCAGTTGTTTCTGATTAGCGGGCCATCCGGCGACGTTTTCAGAGTGATACCCCATCTGCCAACAGCATTAGACATTGGTATCCGCAGTTTTAGACAAAAGGGTTCCTTTGCAAATGGAAGAGTGCAGGGCGTCCGCTTGTGTCAGAAGAAAGTGCGGAATGAGTGAGACAGTCTTTTTTTCACGGTCCGAAGAAATCTGTGCGCCATGTGAGTCGTGAGATGTCAAGTATGGCTGTGTGGAGGGAGAATGTTGCGGAACAGACTGGAAACGAAACCCTATCGTCTTCACTTTGCGCAGCTTCATCAGTTATTTTGTACACGGTGCATATACTCTACTCAGATTTCATGTGAACGCTGTTTCGGATCTAACCAATCGCTATTTTGACTTATCTATTTCTATACTTTTAATAAAGTACCACATTTGAAAAAAAAAGTTTATATTCTTTTTAGATAAGTTTGATTTCACAGAGATACTGGGTTTTCGTACTTTATCCATCGTCCGGATTCTAAATAACTAAGGAAAAAATGATTTAATTAATATGATGACATCTAAAAAGGGGGGGGGGGAATGCATGTTTTATGAGATCCAAAATTTAGGGACGATGTCATATTAATGTTTTTACTGACTTGTTACATTTTTCGTCGTTCTTTTTTAAGCAACGTCTCGGAAACTTGTTGTTTACATTCACTATAGAACGGACAATAATTTGTAAGATGAGGCACCGACTAAATACGAATTATATTACTACATCTACATCACGAGCCTCCAATAACAGTTTTTATACACAAAATATAGAATATTCTAATTTGTCCATGGGAACAAAACAAAATCACAAATACCAATGACTAACTCGATGATGTAAAGCATCAATCGAAGAATTTTATTTTCGTTTTATACTATAACTTTTGTCTTATATAATCTAATTTATTGTATATATTTTTACGTCAAGTATTTTAATATAATTAGCATTATTGTATCCAATTTTATTAATACTGCAGTTCAGTGGTGTATATATTGTGACGCATTGCGCTAGGGAGGACTCCCCCTCCCCCGCCAGCGGTGACGTGCCGAGCGGAGCCGAAGTGAGACGAGTCCAAGCACGCTGGTCGCTATGCAAAGCGAATAAACAGCGGTTGCTAGGCAAAGCGAGTAAACAGCTGTACCCATTACGTAACACGGGACGCCGCAGTTGCTACGTAGCCGTAAACAACTCCCAACAGCGTTGCTAGGTTATAGGCAAACACGGCGACTAGGCAACAAGGAAGCAAGGCGTTTCCCGTTGTCCGGCTGAGGGTTTATAAGGGAACTACACAGCCTACGAAGACAGTTACGAGTTAGCCAGCAGTCAGTCAGCAGTGGACAGTTAAAAGTGTAGCAGCCTACGAAGCAGTTGAAATATAGCAGCAGTCGTGGAAAGAAGAACCGGACGCGTGTGTGATAATCAGTGATAGTTCGTGATAACTGAGAAATAATTGGGAGCGTGTGATACAGTTGCACTTGTATAACTCCCGCGTTATAAAAACGTGTAGACTACTGAGGATAGAGGGAATTGAATATTGCATAGGGTTTGTAAACTGTGGAAACCCGCAACAGTGTTGTAATTAATTGTAGCCGAGACTTGTAGGTTTGTTAAATAAACCAATTAACAATCTGAACGGCGTCTTCAGTAACGAAACACGTTACAATATTGTGACGTGTTGCGCTATGGATGACGCCCCTCCCTCCCTCCAGCCGTGACGTGCCGAGCGGAGCCGAAGTGAGCCGAGTCCCAGCACGCTGGCTGCTATGCAAAGCGAGTAAACGCCGGTTGCTAAGCAAAGCGAGTAAACAGCGATTGCTAAGCAAAGCGGTAAACAGTGATTGCGAGAGACAACGGAAATAACAGCGGTACCCATTACATAACAGGTAAACACGGCGCCAGGGAACAGTGGTGCCTATTACGTAACTTTTTCCCCGTTGTCCGGCTGAGGGTTTATAAGGGAA